GGGCAAGTGTGGAGATGGAATGGCAAATATGGGGAGCAACCCTAAGCAAGCCAGCTGGAGTAAAATGGAGAGGGCAAGACTGAGAGTAACAGGAAATACACCCTGTGTTTCCAGGAGACTCTTCCGATGGCTCTGTGGAGGACTGAAGAGGGAACAAACAGAAGCAGGACCTCCCATTCAGAATCTGAAGTCCAGGTAGGAGGTGATGAGCTCCTGAGTCAGGCTGGTGGTTGGGCGAGTGAAGAGAAGGAGCCAGATGCAAAGTGGGCGAAACCACCACCATCTCAACCACCCTCAGACCCTGATGGAGACAGCCCAGGCCCCCAAACCTTGCCTAATTTTTCTATTTGTATCCCCCATGCTTAGCACAGTGCTTTGAACTTAGTGCTTAATAAATGCTTCATTTGTTCAAGAGGTGTGGAGAACGATCATAGATTTAGTGCTGGAAGCAGCCTTAGAAATCATCTTGTACAAGAGCACAGGAGCAATCACTGATTAGAAAGACAGTAGACATCATTATTCCTGTGCGCTTGGAAAGACAAAACATACCTACTAAGTTATGAATTCTGAATACTGGGATGACATCTTATTCAATTTTTGTAGCTCCCCTCCTTTCACCTCCTCGTCTAACATAATGCATGGATCACACAATTTTAATTAAGGTTTCTTAATCCCAGTTGATACAACCAACTAAATTTAGGAAATAAATCAAATTGCTATTAAAGATTAAACTTGGGCCTCACAAGTAGATTCAGAACTTGCTAATCTATTATCCTATTTTAACCTAGAAGCTAAGTGCCACATTTATTTTCTTATGACCCACCCTAAGCCTTCTCTCCTTCAGACTGCCCTCCATCCTCTCACACCAGTTTTTCCCAGGCTTCTCATCACCCTCAGTCATCCATGGTCAAGGATTGTAGATCAGCAATTCCCAAACCAATTTGTGAGGCTCCAAGTCCTTTTTTTTTGACCCTATAATTCTTAGGCACTTATCACTTGTCCCCAGGTTCTGCCTTCAAAGATATTTTCCTCATGATGTCCTTGTATGGGGAAATCACCACGTAAGACAATGAGAAAATCCCCAGCCAAGGCCACAAGGTTTAGCTGTAGTCTTGCCCCTTAAAGGGAATTTCCCATCACATAGGCCTCTGATGGGGGGCAGCGAGGAACAAAGAGGGAAAGAGGGGGACCAACCCCAACTTCATAGTCCTTCTCCTGGCCTGAAAGGTATCAAAATCTGCCCTCATAAGGGGACCACAGGTCACTTAGGCCCGGGACAGTGGTCCTTGTATCTACCATACCCTCCTGGTTAATGGAGGCCCATCATATACTCCAAGGGTTAGAAATCTGTGTCATAGCTGCAGGTCGTTAGGTCATTAGCATAGGGCTCACGATGACTGTACCAGTGAAAGGGTTAGTTCTCGGTATCTTTGTAATACATAGGATTGCAATACACTGCATGGGGTTAATAAGTTTCAGGTGCATTCATTTCTTCCCTCTCATAATTCAAACCAAACCCTACTTGGCTTTTCAGGATTAAATAACTGCTTCTAGTATTTTGTACCAGCTTTATGTACTCTAACTTCTTCTTCTTTTTTTTTTTTGGTGAGGCAATTGGGGTTAAATGACTTGCCCAGAATCACATGGCTAGTAAGTGTTATGTGTCTGAGGCCGGATTTGAACTCAGGTCCTCCTGACTGCAAGGCCAGTACTCTATCCACTGCACCACCCAGCTGCCCCCTACTCTAACTTCTTAATGGCCTTTCAAAACAGGGCACCCAGAATGGAACACAATTCTTAACAAGCATTGATGATGGATCTACAAAGTGCCAACAGTGCGCTAGGTAGTAAAGCTGCAAAGACAAAAATGAAATAGTCCCTGACCTCATGGAAATTCCATTCTACAGTACTCCAAATGTGATCTTCACAGAGGAGCCTAGAGCAGAATCAGCATCTTGTTCTGGGCAGTGACTTTCTAAATGGTGCCTAATATTGCATTAGCTTTCTCTCTCTGTATTTTTTTTTAACAGCCAAGTCATTGCTGACTTATATGGAATCTGCAATCCACTAAAGCCCTCAGTTCACACGAGAAGTTGTCTAAACATGCCTCTCTCCTTCTGTACTTAAGTTGTTACTCATTCCTGTAGCAAATGGATATCATCATGTGATGGTCAATCTTCTGGTGAGGACAGGACTTTATATTTCATCCCTCTTAAATGTCATCTTATTAGATTGAGCCAACAAGCATCATTAAGCACTTACTCTGTGCCAGGCACTGTGCCAAATGCTGGTGTCACAAACAAAGGCAAAATGTAGTCCCTATCCTGAAGGAGCTTCCATTTTAATGGTGGAGACAACATGCATGAAGTGTGCACATACAAGATAAACCCATGGGGGCAGCTAGGTGGCACAGTGGATAGAGCACTGGCCCTGAAGTCAGGAGGACCTGAGTTCAAATCCCATCTCAGACCAGACATTTGACACTTACTAGCTGTGTGACCCTGGGCAAGTCACTTAACCCCCTTTGCCTTGCCCCCCCCCCCCCAAAGATATACCCAGGAAGGCCACCTTAGGAAAGGACCTGGGGAGGGATTGGGGGGAAGGCTTATGGCCAAGGGCTCTGGCGGAAGGCAGGATTTGAGATGCATCTTGAAAGGGAACGCAATGGGCAGAGGTGGGGACAGAGTGAAAAGGCCTGGAGTCAGGAGCAGTGCCAGGTGTGAATTACAGGAAGAAGGCTGGTCTTTGGAGATCACAGAATACATGTCAAGAAGTTAAGTATAAGAAAAGTGAAAAGATAGGAAGGCGTGAGGCTGTGAAGAGCTTTAAATGCCAAACAGGGCATTTTGTTACTTGGTCCTGGAGCTCACAAGAAGCCGCTGCAGCTTTCTGAGTGTGGGCAGCTGGGGTGATACAGTCACCTGTGCTTTAGGAAGATAATCTGGCAGCAAGGGAAGGATGGATCAGAGTAGGGGAAGAGATTTGAAGCAAGAGAGTCCAACTAGCAGGCTACAGCACTAGTCTGAGCAAGAGGTGACACTGGGATGGCAGGCAGGGCTTGGCAACAGACAGGACATGGGGACATGAGCGAACGAGAGACGTGGAGGATGACGTCAAGGTTGGGATGAAGGTGGTGCCCTTCCCTCTTAGTTCTAGTGTCTTTCTGTTCCTTCCCATATATTCTCCAAACAGTTTGCTTTGCACAGACAGGCACACCTTGTTTAATCGTGCTTCACAGATATCGTGTTTTTTATAAATTGAAGATCTGAAGCAACCCTGCATCGAGCAAGTCTATCAGCGTCCTTCTTCCAACATCTCATATAATGTCTGTCACATTTTGGTAATTCTCACAATATTTCAAACTTTATCATTATTATTCTATCTGTGATGGCGATTTGTGATCAGTGATCTTTTTTTTTTTTTAAATATGCAGTTGGGGTTAAGTGACTTGCCCAGTGTCACACAGCTAGTGTCAAGTGTTTGGTCTGAGGCTGGATTTGAACTCAGGTGCTCCTGACTTAAGGGCCGGTGCTCTATCCACTGTGCCACATAGCTGCCCCCATGATCAGCGATCTTTAAGGTTTCTATTTTCATCGTTCTGGGGTACCATGAACTGCGCCCATATAAGATGGCAAACTTAATTGATAAATGCTGGTTGTGCTCCAACCGCCCCACCCATTGCCTGTTTCTGTCTCTCTCCTTTTCCTCTGGCCTCCCCATCCTTAGACGCACAACATTACTGAGGCCAGTTAATAACCCTAAAATGGCCTCAAAAGGAAGAGGTAATCAATGTGATAAACTTCATTGTTGTCTTATTTTAAGAAATTGCCACAGCCACACCCAAACTTCGGCATCCACCCCCGATCAGTCAGCAGCCATCATCATCATCAAGGCAAGACCCTCCACCAGGTAGGTACATCTTTTTTTAAACAATACTACTGCACACTTAATAGACTACAATATAGTGTAAATTGTTCAGTCATGTCTGACTGTTTGTGATCCCATTTAGGGTTTTCCTGACAAAGATACTGGAGTGGTTTGCCATTTCCTTCTCCAGCTCATTTTTCAGATGAGGAAACTGAGTGAGGCAAACAGAGTGAAGTGACTTGCCCAGGGTCACACAGCTAGTAAGTCTCTGAGGCCAGACTTGAACTCAGGAAGATGAGTCAGGCCAAGCATGCTATTCCTGCACCACCTAGCTGGGAAAGCAAAAAATTCTTTTGACTTGCTTTTTTGCGATATTCACCTTATTATTGTGGTCTGAAACAATATCTCTGAAGTATGCCTGTATTTGTTTGCATGTTGTTTCCCCTATTAGACTGTAAGATTCTTGAGGGCAGGAACTGTACTTTGCCTTTCTGTATCTCCAGCACATAGCACACTGTAGGTGCTTAGTAAATGTTTGTTGATTGATTGCCCTCAATGGTAATATGGAAATTTGTTACGAGGGAAAGGTCAGGGGAAAAGATAAGTTGTTTGGGACGTGTTAAATTTGAGATGCCTACAGGACATGAAGTTTCAGATGGCCAAGAAACAGCTGGTGATGCGAGATGAGCTCAGGAGAGAGTCCAGGGGTAAATACGCAGAGCTGGGATTTGTCTACATAGCGACAATATTTGAACCTACGGGAGTTAAACAGTACAGTGTCAAGGGAGATCTCTGTTCAAAGGGATATGTGAAGAACTGCATCTTGGTTCCAGGGCCGTACCTGATTTTATGTGAGACTAAATGAATAATGACCTAATTACAAATTGGCCTATATTTTACTGCTGTCTTCTGCTGTCACACACACACACACACACACACACACACACACACACACACACACACACACACACACACACACACACACACCCTCTTTCAGTGGTTGTCACTGAGAGCCTTATTCTCTAGCACCAAGACCAAGAAAATACATTCATGCTTCAATTCATACCAGTCAAATGCATTATTCAGACTGGGAAATTCCCATTTACCCATTCAATTAGGGTCTGACAAAGCAGCATATTTGTCCATTTTATGCACTGTGTGGAGGTGAACGAGGTTGCTAAGATAGGCATTAATAATGACAACGCTTATCACTTTAATGGACTGTAACCATTTTGACACCGAAAATCTAGCCATACCAAATCCCTTCTACCCTAAATTTAGAAACTTGTAAAAGACTAATGATATTTAATCGAGTAAAATAACTTTACTGAAAGGTTGGGGTTTTTTTCCAACAAGTTTAAAGATTTCCAAAACAAATTCTTTGTAGTATTTTTTGAGAATCCTTTTCTACCCAAGCAGTTCTACATTTAAGTAGTTAATTCTTACCTGTTAACTCCTTGCCCTTCCATTTCTTCACCTCACCTAAGCTTAAGTCCACCACACTGCAAAGCATGATGAGGACAATCTATCTGAATTAGGGATTTAAAAGCCTGGTATATTTTCTATGGTTGGTGTCTGCAAGGCTCTTCAGAATATTAATCCATAGCACCACCTATCTTTCAAAAGAATGGTTCATTTTCAAGACAGAATCAAATCTGATGTCAAAAATGAGCTCATTCTTATTGTCTTGCAAAAAGTATCTACAACAGAAGACCTACCTAAATTGACACTGACATTTTGAATTGGATGTGAACTACTGATCTGAATCTGACCAAAATCTGTAAAGTGTAAGCTCTAATGGGGCAGACACTGTTTTTAACTCTTAAGTGCTTTATGTGGATCTCTAATAGGTACTTAAAAACTATTTGTTACATAAAGCCTCTCACTGGTGTAATTCACAGAGGTCCCGACATATGCCATTTCACATCTTCTCATATCTATCAGAAGGAGATAAGGGGCAGATGGCATCTTTCCCATTTCACATAAGAGCAAACTGAGGTACAACAGGGTTAGGTGTCTTATCTAAGTCACCAAATTCATGAGAGGATAAAATTGACTTCTCCTCATCCCCCAGGCCAGTGCTTAAGGATTTATGGCTGGCATCCCAGCTGACTCAGGCCTAAGAACTGGAAAAACAAATTATTTCATTGAAAATTGTCTGGAAAGTAATGAGTTAATCTAATTAGCATAAACTGCCTATTTTGTTATTTTCGGTTTCTGACAAATTAAAGATGTCTACAGAATCATGCTTCCAAGCATCTTGGGCTTCCCTTTCTTTAGTGCACTCTTTATATTCTATAATGTCTTAATTTATTCTTTTTACAAGAGTGTTCTTCTCCCCCTAAATGCCCTGTGCTGGGGGCCAGGGACCCTCTCTTATAAGTCTTAGAATCTGAGTGCTTGGTAGGATCTCATTAAGATTCTTATTAAGTGAATGGATGTTTTTACAACTCTCTTACTAAACTGTAAAACATTATAAGAGATACGCTACAGACTGTTTCTCTTGGGGATCCCTATCAAGGTAATACAAAAAGATCTTTGGAGATTTTTTTCTTTGTTACAATCTTGCAGCAACTCATTTAAATTATATGCTTCTTATGAGGGAGAGTCATTTTGGCCAACTACTGGGATGTATTTGAAACCTGGCCATAAATGGTGAATGACTTAATACTGATAACTTGGTAGAACAGGCATAGTCCTCACTCTTCTAATCTGTCCTGTTTTGTTAAAACCCACAATTTTATAATTCTTATCAGATGTTAAACTCATCTACAAAAACAGTCTGAGAGCCCTCTTCATTTTGTTCCTGCCTAGGAATGTTGAATGCCTAGTCCACCTCATGATGCCAATAACTTCTAACCTCCATTTTATACATGCATTTATTTTCCAAAAATATACTGGTTATTCAGTCAAGAACAATTCAAACACACAAAGTAATGTTTTGTGTTTAAAATGAAGAATCTTTTTAAAAAAACTTTGAGCGAGAGATTGTGGTGTATTTTAATATGTGGCGACTTAGCATCAGAGTAAGCACTTTAAGATTCATCCACTATTTCTAAGTTTCTACCAGAAGGTAAAGGTGTTCTAGCTATGGTTTTCCATCCAAACACATCTTGTGACTTTTTGGTCTTTGTTTAGTAGAAATATATCTTTTTCCCCCCTTTCTCAAGAAACTCACAGTTATCAATGTCAACACCAGAACAATAAAACTGATAGAAACCACCTTGGGAAAGGTATGGCTTTATATATAGAAATGACCTGACAATGTGGCCACAATCCATCAAGAGATGCAACCCTAATTGCCTGGTGGTTTGTCCTTAGCCAGAATGCTTCTCTCTGTATTAAATCGTTTAGGAATACTGCCAGAGCAGCCCTTGTAAAACTGAACCTCGGCTGTCAAATTGCTGAGCTATCTCAACCAAGACTGGCCCTGCTTTCAAGGTTAAAAGTTAGTCTCGGTCTTCCAATGTTTTCTTTTTTGGATATTCAGGCTCTCCGACATTCTCTGGACACCCTTCTAAACATATGATTTAAGTTACATCTAGTTAAGTAGAACCCTTTTGTACAGCACCAAAGTAGTTTTAAAAGAAGCCAAATAACTAGATGTGCTCTTCCTTTGATTAGTCTTTAAAATAGGTTATCTTTAAAACATAGAAATGAAGACAACAAAGTCCAGGTTCTTTCACCCCAAATAAATTAAATACTCTGTCCACCTTATACTAAACATTCAAATTGTTATCCTTACAGACCGCCACCTCTCTTTTAGTCACAGCCTGCACGATCAGCTGGTCATTTTGACACTAGTAGAGCCGGGCAGGATTCTCTAGGTTTGCTTTAAAACGTTCAAGAAACTTGGTAGCCAGTTCGTCGTCCACCACTCGGCTGTCACTGGACATGGAGACGGTCACAAGGTCGTGCTGCTGTAGCCTGACATTCCCTTCCTCATCTTCAGAGAGTCTCAGCTGAGGTCGGGATCGGCCCACAGCCAAAATGCAGGACTGAGGAGGATTGATCACAGCTCGAAACTCATCGACACCAAACATCCCCAAGTTAGAAACACTGCAAGAAAAATAAAAGGCATAAAGGCACTGAGCGGGAAAATCCTCAAGCAAATGACTTTTCTGACCATATAGCAAGAATGTGCTATTGAACCCTAAAGTAAACATTAATTTCAGATACCAAGAAACATACACCCAAACAAACATAACGGTTTTTGTGAACTCAATGACAACAGCAAAAAGGTCTGAAAAACTTAAGTGTTAACATTTTTCTCCAAGGTAAGGCCACAATTAGAAATAAGCGCATAGAATTGTTTGCCAGTCTTTTAAGATTATTTGCACATCTGACATAATTCCTTAATGGTCTTTCAGTTGCAAGCGGGAAAGGATCACGTTTTAGCTAAACTTTTTATCTCCCCCAGCACCAAGCAGAGAAGACAATTAAATACATTCTTGCTGAACTGAAGAAAACAAGTGTGTGTGTACTAATTTCTTATAAAAATAGCATGGTGCAGAATTTGGATTTTTTTTTTCAAATCATTGATATTTAGCAACAGCTATGTTACTTCCAGAGGTTCGGTTCCCATCCACATTCGTTTATAAGTACTAATGGGCTCTTACTAGCTTTCTTGCAACTTTTGGTGCTGTTTAGTTGTTTCAGTTGTATCCAATTCTTCGTGAGCCCTTTTGGGGTTTTCTTGGCAAAGATACTGGAGTGGTTTGCCATTTCCTTCTCCAGCTCATCTGACAAATGAGGAAACTGAGGTAAACAGGACAAAGTGACTTGCTGAGGGTCACACAGCTACTATATTCTGAGGCCAGATTTGAACTCAGGAAGATGAATCTTCCTGACTCCAGGCCTGGCACTCTATCCACTGAGCCACCCTGCTGCCTTTTTATTGTGACTAGGGGCTTAGAAAGGTACATTCTAACCAGTCAGAAGAATGTTTCCTTTCTATATTTCTGTTGCTTAAATATAGAGAAACATAAGGATGTTTAGGTAAATAAATAAAACAAATCTACACCAAGTATGTAAGTCTTAGGTGTAGCTGACAGTGATTATAATTAATGTTTCCACTTTACCTAAAAGACCCTCCTTGATATTCTTCTGGTAACAATTTTCCATCTCTTGCTTTCTTTGCCAGAGCCTTAAAAAAACAAAAATAAAATAAAATAAAATATTAGCACCAAAAATATTCCGGATAGTTACAATTGCCAACTGAAGATTCAGCCCACAAAAGGTATGCAATTTTGCTAATTAAGTCAGGTCGTTAATTTTTCATGATGTGCTATATATTTCTTAATTTAAACACAATTAGGAGGGAAAAAAAAAAGTAGAGCCTAGCAGATTTCCCAGACTAAAAAAGTGACTTTAAGAGCCTAAGGGCAACATTCCTTTCTGATGTTTTTTTTCTCCCTTTGTTTTAGCAGAGCTAGGATAACACTTCATATTTTTTAATTTCCAGTCCGATGTTACTTTAATTATGCTAAAGTGCCTCCCTGTTCCAGTGTTCTGCATATTATTATTTCCCATGATGTTTCAGTGTTGTTTATAAGCAAAGCAATTTCCTGTTTTGAATGCAAAATGTGTTCTTGTGAACAACAGCAGCCCCCTTAGAGACTCGACTCCAGTCCCCCTCCGTCACTTGCGGCCGCCATGACCTTGGCTCCTCGTCTCTCTGGGCCTCCATCTCCTAATCTGTAAAACGAGGGGGCTGGACCAGACAACCTCTGAAGTGCCTTCTGGCTCTAATGTTATCAAGTCTATGAAATCCCAGACATCATTTCAAGTTTATTTTTCGGTGTTGCCTTAAAATGTTGAAAAGGTGGGAGCGAAGAAAGAAAACCCCACCTTCAGAAGGGCGGCAGCTCTATTTCCTCCAGGCTTCCATTTCCTTTGCACTGAAAATTAGCGACATTCTTGGCTCCACATTTCCCAGTGTCTCAGACACAAGACACAGGGGCAGGGAGGCTGGTCCACAACCAACCTGACAGACATCAAATACTCAGCGGCCAAATTTTGGGAGGTGTGGAAGAGTGCAAAATTATCAATCACAGTTGAAAAGGTCTGGAGTTTAATTTACTGTAATTTATCATAAACAGAATGAACAGGATACCACAGATATTCACTAATTAACAAAAAGAAGCCACAGGTTATTTTTTTAAACTTAATCTCCCCTTCCCACCATCAACATGTCATCACGAATTGCTGCCAAACAAAACAAATCACAAATATATACTTGTTGCTTAACAAAGGTATTTGGATCTAAAACCTCAAATGAAAGGAGATGGGTTTAGACTTGAAATAGTCCTTGAAAATCAGGACAGAGAAAGACAAACTAGAAACATGTTTTCCCACCTTAGGCAAGAACACTAGTCACATGATTTGATCAAATATATCAAATGGACTTAACAAGGAATTTCTTTAACGGCGAATGATCTCATCTTTTCCTGACTACCATGAACAGACTACGAGGAACAGGAACTACTTAAGAGTCTGAAAGAAAGCAGCAGAATTCTCCGAGGATTTCAGTGGAGGCAGCCAGGGGCGCGGTGGATAAAGAGCCGGCCTTGGTGCCAGGGCATCACCTGACACACACCAGCTTCCACGACCCTGGGGCGTCTCTTCTTCACTTCGCAGGGCTCCAGACACGTGGAGGTGCTGGTCAGCATGGGGGGAGGGTCTGTCCTCCCCTGGAAGCTCCCCTATCAATGAGGTCCCCAGTCCAGGCCTTCTCCCTATACTTTTGCTCTCTCTGTAGTCAAGGGTCCTGAGTTCTGGAAAGCTCTGATTCACAGAGGGGTATCTAGCAGCATGGACTTATACTCCAAGGTGGTAGGCACTGAATACACATTTCCAGAAGAACACCGTGCTGATGGAATCAAGCAACAAGACAGCGTCAGCCGTACCTTTACAGAAAGAGCAATTTCCTGTATTCCTTTGGCAGCAGCATCTTTTAAGATGGGTGTAATGAGACCTCTGTCTGTTGCCACTGCGACCGAGATGTCAATGGAGGACAACTGTTTTGGGCCCTCTCCATCCCAACTCACATTCACATCTGGCATTTGCTGAAAGATAGAAGTAGAAGAATATTAAACAGAGTAAAGTTTGACAGCAGTGAATGACTCAAAAGACCCAAAATGCATGAAAACATTCTCCATGGCAATTAACCATGCCAGGCTGAGGCTCCTGACTTAAACGCATTAGATGAACACAAGAAAAATGGTGACAACATTTTCACTGTCTAACTGTATGACTGGAGGCCAGTCACGTCATCTCTGAGACTCAAATTTCCTTTTAAATGGGGATAACACTTTTACTAACCTCCAACTAGGCAGATATGTAAGAACAAAAAAACACATTTTTAATGGAAGATGGAGAATACTAGAATAAAATGGTAAAGTTATGCTATAAAAATGAATTTTATATGTCCATAAAGCAGAACTCATACTTAGGATGCAGAAAGCAAAATAAGCCTCCCTAGTTCATGAAAATGAATTAATGTAGATAATGTGAAAGTTTAACTAAAGAAAACTTTAAAAAATAAAGGAAAAAAAAACACTGCTGATGGATATCAGTTGGAAACCATCTAAGAAAACATTGACTTCTAAAAGCATTAATCTGTGTCACTGCTGTAAATTCTATCATTTTCAAAATTTGGCAGAATGCTTTGGTGGTAGGAGAAGCACCACCCCTGACTACACGCTGCTCTACTTGACGGGGCCCTGAAATGGGAATGGGAATGTCATCTAGCAATACATTTTATCTTTTTTTCTCATTGACGTGAAAAACTGTTTTTAAAAGAATACAGTATGGAAATGGGGCATTCTGCCTAAATCAGGGGTTCTTCACCTTTATCAGTGTGGTGAAACGATTTTATTGCCTACTTTTATAACAGGAGGAAATGCTAAATAAAAAGTATCATTGTTTTGCCCTGTTCAAGTTCACAAATGCTCTTTAGTCTCTCCACGGATGCGCTGGAAGTCTGGAAGCCCCAGGTCCAAACCAACCTGCTTTGATGCAAACTCCATTTCTTCAATGGCAGGGGAGGGATGAGGGTGGAGTAGGGGGTAGAGGGGGAAGAAAGAAGAGGAAAGAGGGAGGGAGGAGATGCTTCCAATGCTTCTAAGCTACTGCACTGGGCATGTTCATTCTATTCTATATACTCTCCTCATGCAATCTGATGGCCCCGGGATAGTAACAGGACACCATATTTCATTAGTCTTTGATTCTTCAGAATTGCTCTGAAACACATTAGCAGGACTAAAATAAAGCAGTGTATTTTATTTTATTGGGGGGAGGGCAATCAGGGTTAAGTGACTTGTCCAGGGTCACTCAGCTAGTAAGTGTCTGAGGCCAGATTTGAACTCAGGTACTCCTGATTCCAGAGCCAGTGTTCTATTCACTGTGCCACCTAGCTGCCTCAAGGAATATATTTTAAAAGGTTTGCCAGCACCCCCAATCCCCCGAACTGTTAACCCTTAGAATCACATACAAAACCAGCCCACATCACAAACACACATCTAAAGCAACGGGTGGTGGAGTCCCTTGACTCTAGGTTTGATTCTCAGCTCTGGATGACTTAGGCCAGTCAGTTCACTGTTCCAGAGATCACTCATAAAATGGCCAAGATCATCTCAAAGAGTCCTGCCAGTTCTAAATCTTAGGATCCTATTTAGGTTAAACATGGGTGAATGAAGTACTTCTAGCAGCTTATGCTCACAAAGACAGGAAGTCCAATGCTCTTCACCAGGGCAAATGGCACCCACCCCATCACATGATCCTCAGGCTTGAGGCGGCCCTTTGGGACTCCTCGGCTTCAAGGCTGACAGTGCTGTTTATTTTAACCAGGTTTCACATGTTTACAATTTTTTAGAAGAGAAGAGGACTTCTGCTTAGGATAGACGGAAAGAGATGTGAAAACTTCCTTAAGTCATTATATCCCTACTGAGCTCTAGAATACAATTTACAAACCTGAGTTTTAGGAAACGATTTAATTAGAAAATAATTATAAACTTGAACACCTTAAGTATAGCCAGTAACATATCGGTTTAAAATTATAACTCCTGAATTCTGCCCCTAGCTATACCAATGACTCACTAAATGACCTTTTATTTAGGATTATAATAATTCCCAATACACAATAGTTTAGTAAAAAGCTATTTAAACCAAAGTTACTATATAATCTTATTTCTGCCTTAGGTCAAAAGATCAAAGGAGTTTAAATCTAAAGTCATTCAAAGAGCAAATAAGAAATCAATTTGCAATCACTTTTATATCACCACTGTGCATAAAAATATCAAGCAAGAAAGTAGAAAACTAATCACATGGCCCAACTATTTATTATAGTCTCATAATTTATAGCACAAGCGTAGGGCATAATTACATGTTTAAAACCCACACATGAGAAAAAAGAACCGTGTCGTTAAATCTTCATAGAAGCATTCCTAAATTATAAACTTTCATTTCTTTTTCCGAGGTGAGGGTGGTAAGACAATTGTACTGTCTTACATTTAGATCTATTTTGAGAACTCTATTTATTACAATATCGGGAACTTTAAGCAGAGTTAAAATTGCTTGAAACCAAGCAAACGAGACTACAAATAAGCATGTGTCAATATAGGGAGTTACTTCTAAAGTACAAAATATCCAAAAGACATAAAAGTAAAGAAGTACTTTTCTATACAGTGCTATTAATAATACTTTTAACTTAAATTTATAAGATGGTTATAATAGATATTCCTTAAGAATAAGGCCGGGGGGGGGGGCAGGCAGCTAGGTAGCACAGTGGATAGAGCTCCAGCCTTGAAGTCAGGAGGACCTGAGTTCAAATCTGGTCTCAGACACACAATACACAACATGTACTAACTGTGTGACCCTGGGCAAGTCACTTAACCCCAACTGCCTAGCAAAAAGCAAAACAACAACAACAAAAAACCCCAAAAAGCAAGAATAAGGCCTGGGTATTTAAAGTTCATAACTGGAGTTGAGAAACAAAATGCTGGTTGACAGCAAGGAAAGTATAGTATAAGAATGAGATTTTCCATATTGGATTTAAGTAGTTGCTATTAATGAGTTGTTCAAAAAAATACTCTCAAGATATACCTCTGTTCTATTGGTTGAAAAGGAAGACAATTCCCAGAAAACCAAAAAGGCAAATGGAATAGAGTTTACTGGCTTTTTTTTTTTCAAATGCCCATCAGAACTAGCTAAGGAATGATTATATTCCAGTTCTAGGAAGTTAATTTACAGCGTGCTCTGTTAGATAATTTGAGTGGTAATCATTTCCCCCATAATGGTTAAAAGCACCTAGGGGCAGGTTAAATAAAAAAAGTCTATCTACAAGTTCTTAGGAGATATTTCTAGTCTTTAAATAGCTTTTCAAACTACTCCAGGAAAAATACGTACTTTTAACAAAATACAAATAGTGTTGTAAAATACCAAAATTGAAAGAAACATCTACTAGAATACGTTGGTCCCAAATGTAATCTCTTTATGTTGCTAGTAAAAGAAGAGTAAACACTAATATGTATTCAAGAACTTTTGGAGAACAAGGTTTTTTGGAAGATCATACAGATACCCACATGATAGCCTATATTCCTTCAGGAAACAAACAAAAAAGAATTCCAAGTATAAATATAACAAATAAGCATCATTATAAAAAAGCAGACAATGGGGAGAGAGTTTGAAACGGCTTAAAAAGGACTGGATGGAGGCTGTTAGTCCTAGCTCTACTATCTGTAAGACCCTGGACCACTTCTCCTTGGGGTTTGAAGCTATGACATTTAAGAAAATAGTGACTCTGACTTCCAAACTCCCTCCCCAACAAACCCTCGTGAAGGCAAACTTCGTTACACACGTGTGTATACTGCATGTGGGTTACACAAAGCACACTCCCCAGAAATGAAGCCAACAGATAAATCCCAGGTGTCTGGGCTTTGTTACTTACTTTAAGGGTTACAGCTATCGCCTTGATAATAAAATCATTTACTGATACTTTAATATCATCTGAAACAAAAAAGAATATTAAGATCAAGACCACTGCTTACATAACTTGAAGAAGTAATACAATTATGGCTCTCAACTTGACAATTATAAATTGTTTTCTTGTACTCTGATAACGTGTACTTGATAAAATAGAAATTCCATAAAGTGTGACACAGAATGGACAGAATATAACTTCCTAGGATGCAAATTAACATTAAGCTATATCTTGGTTATCACTTAGGAGAAAAAAAAAATAAGTGCCCAGCAAGCACACTTGTAACCAAATTCTTTCAGACGCTTCCATCAAAGACAAGAACTCATACGAGTCTGAGTGGGGTCCTAGAAGTACTATAGTTGACCACTAAAAGCCTACCTATGGAACAAACCAGGGAACAGAAAACAATGTCTGAAGAGATGAAGCAACATTGGCATAGGTCCTAGTGCAAGGAGGGTGTTTTTCTAATTTTATGGTGAAAACACAGAGATCCTTCCGGTGAACATAATGTCTCCTGACAAGGCTTTTTTGTTTAGGCCCATATAAAAACAGTCGTAAAAGCGGATCCCTGCTCACCTGTACAAGCTTTGTCTTTCCTTTTCCCAATGGGAAAGAGGACGGCAAACAAGGCAGGACTTCAAGGTGTTTCTGGGAAGTCTGACATCTAAGCAATGACCAAAGTGCAGCTCAGCGTCAACTGTGTGTCTTGGAAAGCAGCATTCTGCTGACTCTGTGCCCCACTGGACACCCCTGTTTCTACAGGGGGCAGGCGACCATAGGGAAAGCACAAGAACTTCCATTAGCTGCTCCTAGAGGGCCATGTAACTTCACAATGACCTTCCCAAGGTATCTCCTTCCCAAAGAGAGGTAGGAGATTTTTAACTGAGATGAGATGAATTCTCAGGAAGCTACACTGTGCCACCACTATTTCAGTAACTGCTAACTGTCATGGAATACAGTAAGCAGAGCTGGCTCTGGAATCAGGAAGAACTCGCTTCAAGGCCCCTCTCTGACACATGCTGTCTGTGTGGCCTTGGGAAGGTCATTTAACCTTCCAGTGTCTCGTCAAACAATTCTCTAAAACTTAAGCTGCAGAGAAGGTGCTGAACGGAACTGGGAGAGGAACCTCCTTACCCAGCACTTCCTAGACTAGCGAAGTCCTAAGCCCCAACAGAAAACAACCCTAATCTTTAGGCTTTAAAAAGGCAAACAGAAATATATCTCAGTGCTGATGAGCTTAAAAATCAACTGTGAAAGACTTGGCTATTATCAAGAAAATGATCCAAGACAATTCCAAAGGACTCATGATGAAAAATGCTAGACAGCTACCTTCAGAGACAGAGCTGATGGACTCAGAGTGTACATATTTTTTTCTTTTTCTTCCAGAATATGGCTGATGAGAAAACATGCTTTGTATGACTTCATTTGTATAATGAGTATCATATTTCTTGCCTTCTCAACAGAAGGGGGAAGGAGTATACATAGGGAGAGAATTTGGAACTGATAACAGAAGTTTAAAAAACAAACAAAACCCTACTATTTCTACTGGATCCAAGTCTTTATTTCTATCCTTTACACATATTCTATCACAAAATTTGTATGTGGCCAGGACTTATTCAAAGGCTCATCCTATTAACTTCTTGGTACATTTGCAGAGAAACAATAGAGACTTCCCAGGCAAATTTCCTAACACTAAGTTACTTTTTCCCAGTTTCCCCAAAACTAGCAATCCAAATATCCCACTACATGTCTAAGAAAATAGTTGTGAATGAAGCAAAGACTCACTAACTTTAAACAAAAATGAACAAATTCATATTTTAGAGAACCTAAAAAATACTGAGGGAACAAGACTATTAGAGATGATGAGCACAGAAATTCTACTCCTGTAACAGCAAAAAGTAAATAGCCACCATCAATCTCATAGGAAACTGCCATTTTAAAATGAAGTTCTATCAACAAGATTTCATAATTTCTACAACAATCTAAGCTTCAGTGTACATAGTTGTTTTTGGAAGATTCCTAGCTCCTAGAAAATGACAGTTTCTAAAATAATTTCTAATAATACTTCAAATTCATGTGGAAAAGGAAATAAACATTCACAGAGTGGGCTGCCTTGGGAGGTGGGGGGCTTCCCTTCATTCAAAGAGCTGGGAGGGCCCTCCAAAGTCACTTAATCCATGACTGCACCTCTTAGAGTACTACATAAATGTGAATAATGATTTTTAAAAAACTGAATAACTAAGAACTCAGCAAGTTTTCCCTAGCCACAATAAAATTTTCTGAGTAAAACTCAGAAAAAAAAGAAGGCACTTTTGACAGGCCCCTATTCTTTCAGAGCCATGAGTAGTCACTTTCATGAGTGTCATTTCCTGCACTGATTCCAACAGTTTTACATCTGGTTCTCTGAACCTTTAGCAGCTCTCAGGCTGACCTTATCAGTGACGCTGAAGATTCTTGCTCCAAACCCTACTTATAAAAAGTTTAACCTAGATCTTGATTATACTAGCTACTGGTGAGAATGAGACAATATTCCTAGAACTCAATTCTGCAGCAGATACCAAGTTTGTAGGAAAGCCCTCCCCTACCAGGTATTAACAGCTGCCACATGAGATATGCATAGTTAAGCAAAGGCCTTCATGAGGCTCTAAATTAGACCGCCCAACATACAACGAAAGCTTACAACAAAGACCACTCTCTACCACACCATAAGACTGCAGTATAAGCAAATTAGACAAGGAAATTTTTCCCTGAGACAAATACATTTTTTATTCAAGTTGGCATAATTACACAGATTATTTACAAATTGAAAATGCAAATGCTTCAAACCACCCTCTGCTTTTTCCTACTGCACCTATAATTCTCTTCAAATCCTTCTCTCTGGTTGTCACTTCTGCAAAATATAGAGATCTACTGTGTCCTAAAAATACACAGCTTTCTCTATTTACATAAAATTAGGTGAACTGAGTTAGGTGAATAATAGGATGCTTTGTAGTATCTAAAACACATGCAAGAAGTACACATCCCCACTGCAGAGCACAAACATTAAGTACCTATTTAGGTCACCTCAGTAAAACAAATTCAGGAATGGAGTTATCCATATATTTCCAGTTTATTTCTCTACCTTCCACCAAGAAAATTTGTCATCTTTGACCGAGTTTATTGCACTTTAGGAGCAGAGCCCCCTTGGCCAAAAGGATCACCCAACTTGGTCCCACTGACAGGCTGACAGATGTCCAGTTAGATGGCCCTTGGTCAGACAAACAAGGTATCATCAGCCTGCATGGTGAAGTCACAAACAGAGGACTTTTCATCAGGCCCTGGGGTCCTGCCCTTGACATGGACGAGTGATGTGACCACTGGCAGTCACCAACCCCCGAAAAGGCTCACTGCACTCATCACTAACAGGAAGAAAATGACACCGGCACATACTGCACAGAGCTGGTATGCTCTATGAAGGTGTGACTATTACTGTCACACACTCCCTACGAGCAGTTTTTAGAAGGCAGTCTTTAGTTCACTGCTGGCCCACTATGACTGGCTGCCATCACCACTGTGGTGCCCATGAAATCTGAGGGAAGGGGCAGGGAGGTACTTGACTGGATCAATACCGGCTCTCATTCTCTTCTTTCAAGGTTACGCTTTGTGTGTTCTTTGACTCAGTCTTCCCATAAGGTGCGAAAGCTTCTATTTCCCAGCCCAACTTCCTCCTTTCATACAGTAAACCACAAGCCCGTCAACAGCCTTATTTTTTTTTAAAGGATAGTTTTGAAGAAAGTGAACAATCAGAAAGGAAGGATCTAATGTAGTCAAAATGAATTCTAATCTGGTAGAAAAAAGAGAGCCACTTCTTTCTATACCCACCCAAAAATCCCCTTGCAGTCCTCCAACGTTCTTCAAGCCAATAACACAGCCGGGAGTTTTCTAACTGCTTTAAGACACCGAGATACCGAAGCTGGCTTTGTTTGGTTATTACACAAAAGACATTCACGAAGTCATAAAACTTCTTCAGCGAGAGTTCAGTAGTTCCCATTTGTTTATATAACCTTTTACTTATAGGAAGCTGGGAACAAAAATCCACTTCTGAAGTCTCTGTTCTTGCCTTACAACAAAAGGAATTCATAAAGATACTAAATAAGAAATATGAAGCCTGTGAATTTTCAAATTGCCTTTCTGAGATGGCAGGGACAGGCACTGCACGAAAAATGTTTAAGACGGCACCGGTGGGGAATCTGCAGCCTTCGAGCCACATGTGGCCTTCTGGGTCTTTAAGTAGAGCCTTTTGACTGAAACCAAACAAGATTTGTTCTGTAAAATTTGGAGTCAGTCAAAACACCGCAGTTAAGGACCTAGAAGGCCATGGGTTCCCCACCCCTGAGTACAGAACATTTGCAACTGGACTTGAAAAATGAAGAATAGCCTTTCCAATACACAGCAAGTTGACCAGACTTTTATTAAGAAAATAAGACAGTGTTCCAATAGTTTTATAAAGATTTATCAAATTAAACTGAACAACTGGGGCAGCTAGGTGGCGCAGTGGATAGAGCACCAGCTCTGAAATCAGGAGGACCTGAGTTCAAATCTGGCCTCAGACCAAACACTTGACACTTACTAGCTGTGTGACCCTGGGAAAGCCACTTAACCCCAATTGCCAAAAAAAGGAAAAAAAAATTAAACTGAACAAATCACTGCATAGCATGACTTGAATAGGATTAGTCCTTTATATGGAAAGCAATGATATAATAATGCCATTTTTTAAAAAAACGTCAAAGAGTAAACTCTTATAAGCTAGAAACTCTTACTCAGCCTGGGGGAATATGAATGAACATGAAGTACATTAATAATTATGTTATTATATATCATATATCATATAAGATAATTTTATATCAAATACAGTCTTACGATCAACAAATTATAAACATCTGTTCAAAGCAACTGATTAGCTCATATTCGAGCATTCCTAGAAACACTCAATTAGAGAATTCTCAGCTAGATCTGAGATCTCCTCCATTTAGATGTCCTTTCCAGTGACATGGCACATAGCCCATCCATGCCCAACCTTCCCGGGCTGGGTCTTCCTGCCACTCTTCTGACATATTCAAGATAGCAGAAGGGCACCAGGCTGTCCACCTGTCATACCTCGCACGTGCCATGTGGCCAGTTCACTTTTTTTTTTTTTTAACAGTCACACATTTTGCTGATGAACTTTTTTGAAGTTCCTCCTTGCTGGTTTTATGGCCGGTCACACCCACAATGGGCCTTTCTTCAATTGCCCTCTCTGTGATTTTCAATTCTCCTGAAGGTACGCTCTAATCCATGCAACAATTACAACTCAATAATGGTAGGAAGAAGCTGGACTCATGCTTCTGAGAGAAGTTTGGGGTTATTAAAGGATCTCTGCAATTTCCTGAAGGCAATCCAGCCCACTCTCCTGTTTCCCATTTAGTTCTGTGCCTAAATTGCTGGGCATGTCTGTCCCACATCAACACATCACGGACAAAGCTATATAGGTTGTCCATTCAGACAGGAAAGGACACGTTACTAATAGATGAGTCAGCATTGATCAGACTTTTGATGGCTTCCTTTCTTTTCTTTAATAGATGACGTGCCAACATACCAACTAACAATGTGAAGGGGTGATAATACGCTAATATAACCCACCTCTGAGCTCAAGGAGGACACATTGCATACGAAATAGCTTTCAAGTGAGACGATGACTGAATAAATTAAGGAAATAGATTCCTCTTTTCACATTATAGTTTTTTCATTTCATGCTCTTCACAAAATCCTCTTCTTTCTTGATGGACGCTTTCAGATCTGGAATGACCTCAGTAACCATCTTCTCCCCAAAAGAGGAGAGCTTGACGACATGCCACCCTCCTTCCTGTTCACTGCATCCACATTAAAGAAAACTAGTCTGGCACCAGCACAGGCCACTGAAGGGGAGCAGAACCTGCTGCAGGTGAGGATCCTTCCTACCACGATTTTCAGCTGATCTTCCAGAAAATCCACTGTCGGTGTGCACCGAGAGACTGGAGGATGACAGTCTTCCCTGCACAGCCACCAACGACAGGCACACTGACTCAAGCTGGATGGAAGCCCTCAGTTCTGTATGAAAAGCACTTGTTCTGATGATATCAATGTTGTTGGGGTTGCACACACCCTGTTTCTTTAAAACTTGAGATGACAGGGATGATAGAGTTGACCAGGTTTGCAAGATACAGACCATGGCTTCTGGGCAATGCTTTGCCCAGGCAGCAGCCAGCGTAGCAACAACTGTAGTGTTGCCATTGAACAGTCATCTTGAGTCGTCTCTGGCTTCCTGGAGCTCCTGCAGGAATCACGACGACTTCACAGCCTTTCAAGTAATCTGGCTCAGGTCCCATATAACCAACCTTTTACGGTAAGCTCTGGACTCAAGATGGCTCAGCTCAACCACTACACAAGGAGTGTGAGGATGTCAGAGAGTGATAGGAGACTCCACAAAGGGCTATTTTTCAGAAGCAGCGAAAGGGCTGTTCAATTGTTCTAGAAGCACCTAGCACAGCTACATTTGCATTATTCTGTGCAGAGGGGCTGAGGCCACGGGGGAGGACCAGCGCCGGGACAGCAGAAGAAGGACAACAGCATTAAGGGTTGGATAGAGGGTGTGGGAATAATGTGGTCCAGGAGGGCAGCCTGTGACTCCAATGACTTCCCATTGTCCCAGAGGTCCACAGACCTCTGATGTCTTTCAATGATGCTTTTTGAGGTCATTATTGAGGTCTTCAAGTAAATTGCTCTCCTACTTCTGCTCAATTTGCTCTGTATCAGTTCAAACAAGTTTTTCCTAAGTTTCTATGAATTCTTATTTCCAATGGAATATTATTGTACAGTAAGAAATTAAGTTCTCACATCACAATTTTTTCAACCATTCCAGAATTAATGGGATCTTACTTTCCTCCTTGTTCTTTACTATTACAAAAAGTATTGTTCTATTTTGCTTCTATGTGACCTTTCTTTCTTTGACTTTTTGAGGGTTATATACCTAGTAGTGCTATCAATGGGTCAAATGATCTATACACTTTCATGGCGTTTAAGAACAACTTGACCAATTGGCAGTTCTGCCAAGAGTCTATTCGTGTGTCTGTCTTCTCATAGCCTCTCCAACATTTTTTTCCTCTTCTATCACCTTTGCCAATCCAATGGATTATAAGGTGAAAATTGAGCTGTTTTCATTTGCATTTCTATTCTCAGTGCCTTATAGCATCCTTTCTTCATAAGGTGGCTGGTGACTTGCAAATCCTTCTTTGGAAAACTACCTATTCAGAGCTTTTTATTACTACACCATTTCATTCCCAAAAGGAAAATTTATAAGCAAGCAGTTATGGAGGGAAGTGGAATACAAGATGTCACCAAAGAAATGTAAGATTGGAAAAGAACAGGGGCTGGTCATGTGACAAGAGGAGGGTTCCGCTGATGGATGCTGTGAGCTCTACTTGTGCCTCTGCAACATAGGGAGAAACAAAGCAAGACCTCTGGCATGTTCAGTAGTCCCCCTGGCAAACTCATGGAAGTGAGACAGATGGACAGGCAGGTTAAGACAACTTCACTGGGACTTCTTTAAACTCAAGTCTCCTAGCCCCAGTTTATTGTGTGTAGTCTCACAACTGATACAATATCATCTTTTACTATGCTTTCCTGGAAATATTTTCAGCAGTGTTTCATAATTAGTATATTAAGCTGTTGTGTCCCTTGGCTGCCTATTATCTCTCCACTAGGCAAGGAAGTCAAGTGTTTGTTAACTCAGGAGGGTTTTTGTCACTTTGAGACTCATTACGGTAACTGATTTACAATGGTTAAATTTCCTTGTGAAATTATTAAAAATTACCTTCCTTCCATCCATTTCCCATTTTTCAATGTCAATAACTTGTTTTAACAGGCCAGATTTTTTCCTCGTTTTTATTTTTTTATTTAGATCTAACAAGTTCATCATCTGAGTATATACAAATACTTGATTCAGTAATTACTCCCATATCAGGAATGAGCTACTAATTGCCTGTTATATAAAATCAACCCTCTGTGTGTGTGTGTGTGTGTGTGTGTGTGTGTCTATGTGTGAAATTATTCTGTGCTCGCCACATCCTGGGTCTGTCACACACTTTCTCAACGAAAATTTTCATGATGCACAGGCATGAATTTTCTGTAAAGTCTAAAAAACCTTTAGTTCCTGATTAGTTATTCTTAAGCCATATTTTGTAATATACTTTTTGTAATTCTTACCCATCTGACACTTGCACTGAAGTCATCAAGGATCAAAGTACATGGAAGTATATTTGAACTCAGGAAGAGCTGAGTTCAAAACTGGCCTCGGACATTAGCTGTGTGACTGTGGGCAAGTCATTTCACCATGTTCTGCTTCAGTGTCCTCAACTATAAAATGCAGTTAATAACAGCAATTCTCCTAGGGTTGTTGTGAGGATAAAATGAGATGACATTTATACAATTCCTTCCTTTCTTCCTTCCTGTTGTTTCTGGTTTCCTCTGAACATACAATACAATGAATTATTTTAGCTGATTCTCCAAGAAGAACCTGTGAGCTATTTTGCTGTCTTTCCATTTTGCTGCAACTTCTTTTGTGTTCTGGTTCCACTCATAGTGAGACTGTTAAGACTTGGTATGATTCAGTTTCTACATTAGCCTGTCCTTCTGCTGGTCCCTGGACAAAGAATCACACATTTAGAGTACCAAGAGCTAAATTAATGTTTAAATGACCAATTAATAATAATGAATTAATGTCTCCAGATTATCTAAAACTGAGAGAATTTTTGCATCCTCTGCCTTGCTCTTTGCTAAAAAATATATTTCAAATAACTACAGCAAAATGAAGCATGATAAATGTGTAAGGGGGCAGGAGGAGAGAGCTGGGGTGGACTGGAGGTTAGAGAAAGCAACAATGAAAAGATAAGATATTCCAAGGTAAAAACTGTTCAAAAATTGACGCTCCTAATTATGACAATGAATTGTCTTCTGAATCAAAAAGGATTAAATCTTCTTCAATCTGGTTTTAGTTTTCATTATCTTTGAATTCCCTGAAAAACAGATAATCCATAGGAGCTTACTATGTGTTGCACTGATTTTTTAATATTACTTTTATATCGTGGCAGAGGAAGAAAGATGATAAATTGGAGAGAAGGAGAAAGCATCAAGTGATTTAAAGGTTCCAGAACCAGGGTAAGTTCCTTTCTCTAGAATCCAAGGATTTGATGTATTTCTTCCTCTAAGTGAGATAAAATGTCATGCAACTTCATTTATTTCTTAACTTTAATATAAATATAATTCCATCACCCAGAACACTGGAAAGAGTTGGGATATGAATTCAAATCCCACTCCAACATTCATTACCTCTGTGACTTGTGGCAAGACACTGAACCATCACGGGTTGCCATTTCTTCAAATGTAAACCAGGGGTTGTTCTTTCTAATTCTAAATCTATGGCGTTATGACTTCAAATCATCTTCTAAATGTTAAAGTTATATATGTATATATGACAGAGAATTTGAACTTCACAAATAATATGATTTCATAAGAGAGAAATTAGATATGCTCGCTGAATTACCCAAAGTCACTTTACTAACCTTTGATGAGACTTTGTCTTAGTTTTAAGACAGCTCCAAGATCACAGTCAGCAGTAGCATATGCATGAGGTATAGTACTTTTAGATTCAGTCAGCCTCTTGGCAATTACTCTTCTAACATTGCTGGCAGGGATTTCAGTGAATGTGCCCTGAAAATAAACAGTAATCTATCTGTTAAACCATGGGTGGCAGAAGAATGAAAAAGTACCCAACTGGGATCTTGTCCCATTTACCTTAACTTATAACATTAATTGAAAGTTAATGTAGAAAGTAGACCATTTAAGAGGGATGAGGTAACCTCTTGTTTCTATGAGAAAAAGTAGAAAGATATACAGTAGGCTAATAAAACAAATTAATAAAAATAAGAGAAAATGAATTGCATCTTAACTATGTACTAGCATGACCAGAATAGACAACAGGGAAAATCAAACTTGCAAGAAGTTAGTTTTGTATTACTGGACTGGAGATTACAAAGAATACGTGGAATTTCTGTGTCAAACAGGATTACAGTTCAGTGTGTCAATTTCTATGCAGAAAATAGCTTAAGACTTTTAAAAAACTGTATGCACTATATTATTATATAATTATTATTTAAAAAACTGATTTCTTTATAATTAATGCTTAAGAAACATACATGGCAACACAGTTAATTTCCATTTTGTAATATTTCAATCTGTTTTGGTTTTTAATTCTTCGTGGCACATCATTCCTAAAAATGCAAAATTTGCACAGAAGGTATTACCACTGCATTAGGCTGCCCTGGAGTAGAAACTGGTGGAATCATTGGCCTTGGATAAGATGGTGGCCCAGTAGCTGGAGGAGCTGGAGGAGCCTGAGGAGGTGAAGGCACTGCAGTTGTAGTAGAAGGTGCTGGAGAAGGTCTTGATTCAGCAAGTTTGCCTGATTTTTTTTGGTGCACAAGTTTAAGGGCATCTCTAGAGATAAGAGAGATTTCAAGGACACTTATTGGCAACAATGCATGGATAACATTTCACATAGGGGAAAAATTCTGACTAAAAGAACAGCTAAAGGTAATTATCAAAATACCTTTATTCCCTACCCCTCCCCCATTTCAAGGAATTGCACCTGTCCACTCTCCCTCTCCCAACTTGAAAAGTCCCTAATCTTTCCTCTAATTAGAAATCAAGATTACCTAATTTTGTATCCTGGTTAATTGTTGTCATTTAATTAACCGATCTTATTTAATTGTTTTTAATACAGAAAAGTTTGCTCTCCCTGTATTCGGGGTCCAGCCTTAACCTGAGAAGGTATATTTGTGATTTGTTATGCAATTGGCATGCACTGCTTAATAAATCGATATGCTCAGAAACTCAAACTTTTGTCTCCTCAGTCATTTCATCTTTCACCCCCACATATGTTTGCACTCAACATAAAGTTATAAAAGAGAATACTTCAATTCAGCATGATAACCTGCAATGCATAAGAAGGTTATTACATTAATCTTAATTACATATTTTATGATGTATATACTTTTACCAGATATTTAAGTTCTCAAGACATTTTAAGTCTGGAGTAGCTTTAGCACAAATCTTGATTTTTTTTTTAGCTGACATTAAAATGATTTCCAGTTGACTCGAGAAATTTAGTATATAAAACAAGACATATTTTTAAGTAGTCTACTGATGCTCTAGTAAGATGTGGGGTGGGGAGAAGAAAGACAAATAACTTATTCTGAGTTTCAGATGCTTTAGAAAGAATATGGACACACACAACTAAGTTTAAGAAATTCATATGAGTGTTTCCTTAACGCTTTTATTTTTTCTACTGTTTCAAAATCAGAAATGAATCACATGTAAAGATGAGAACATGGAGCTGCCTGAAAAATGAAACTACTATAATTTAAGAGGAGCTCTTGGGTTCCTAAATGACAAAAGACTGAAAACAAAATGTTCTGTCCCCCAAAATCCAAAATAGCTCATCTAAGGTGGAAGAGGGGGATAAATTGTGTTTGAGTAGAATAGGTTAGTTAAGCAGAGGTGAGTGTCAGGCACAACAGGATCTCAAAAAAAATTTAAAAGCCTAGCCAAGCTTAATTTTAAGAAATACAGCTCCTGACAAAGTTATTCTATATTTAACATATAAACAGAAAAAGTAACAGTTAATGGTTTTAAGTGCAGTATACTCAGAGTTCTTGGGTGTAGGGGAAAGAAAGTTTTACAGAACTTCCATTTCCATATTACTTCCACTTCCATTTCCAATATTTCATATTCAATTCAGAGTTGATTGACAATTTTTAAAATTAAAAATTAGACAATCTCTTGGTGGTTTATCAATTTAGTCCCATTCTCTCCATTAAGATTTTAGGATGTAGCAGCAGTTAGGCTAAAGAGTCCCTATGATGGATTTTGTATTTTGTCAAAGCAGTCATCAACATGATCAATGTTTTGAGATTTTTTTCCTTGTGTATACAGATTTGTGTTTTTATTTTTTCACATTAATTCCACAGAAGTCATACTCCAATGTTATCTCATGGCACAGAAGTCAGCCTAGATTCTTAAAAACCATGTCAGCAGGCTTCAAGATAACATGGCAGGATCATCAAAGCTAGAACGATTTCTTGTAGGGACCCTGTCTAAGGATGGAGTAAAAAGTGCTGACCAAAGGTGAAGAGATGGCTAAGACCAATAATTTAAAAGTTATATAGCAAAACGTGGTTTAAGATCAAGAAATGAAAGAGTACAAAGTCAAGTTAACTGGTCAGAAGGTTCAAGACAGTACTTCGTGAGTACCTTCTTCAATAAGATGGTAAAAAGCAAGGGACAAAGTCAACCTTCAGAAATGAACCGGATCCAAAACGACCACTTTAAATGACCAGTTGGCACTGTGAATGATGGTAACTCCAATCCAACTTAAAAAAAAAAAAAGAGTCTCCATCATAGGAGAGATGCAAAGATAAATAAGATAATGATTACCATCAAGGAGCTCTAATACCCATCTACTTGAGAGGATAACATGTATGCAAAGTATTACCAATCAAAATGCAGTTAAGTGCTATTTAGAATAACAGAGGGAGAAAAAAAATCACTTTTAACTTCTGAGCAAGGAATAGAGATCAAGGAAGTTTTCATGGAGGAAGTGACATTTGATCCTGCAATTAAAAGATGGGTTTCTACTTCAATACATGAGCTAGAAGGAAAAGGATATTCTAAGTATGATAGGCTAAGCACTGGGGATAAAAAGAAAAGCAACAATCCCTACCCTCAAGGAGCTCACAGTCAAACAGATGAGACAACAGGTGAACAACTATGTAGAAACAAGATATAACACAGGACAGATTGGAAATAATCAATAGAGGGAAAAGACTAGCATTAAAGGAGATTAGGAAAGGCTTCTTGCAAAAGATGACATTTTAACAGGTACTTTAAAGAAGCCAGGAAAAGCAGGAGGTGAAAATGAGGACAGAGAGCTGAGAGATGGAGTATCTTGTACAAGGCACAGAAAGGAGGCCAGTGTCACTGGACTGCAGATGATATAGGAGTGAGTAAACAGCAAAAAGACAGGAAGTGTGTGTGTGTGTGTGTGTAGGTTATGAAAAGCTTTAAATGCCAAACATGATTTTGTTTCATCTTGAAGGTGACAGGGAAGTATTATTGGAGTTTGATGAGGACAGGGCTTGGAGGTTACATGGAGCGTTTTATTACAGGGCCAGACTCACACTTTAGGAACTCACACTACACACTCTGACAACAGAATGCAGGGTGGAGTGGTGTGGGAAGAGACGTGAGACAGAAACCAATCACTAGACTACTGTGACAGTCTAAGCACAGGACTACTAGTGGTCATGTCAGACATGACGGGAGTATATAAGACATGTCAAGAAGGTATATACTACAAATCTGTAAACAGACTGAATAAGGAAGAAAGAGGGAGGGAACTGAAGTTAACACCTAGGCTGCAAGCCTGGGCAACTGGGAGGATGATGGTACTACTGACAGCAATGGAGAAGTAGGAAAGAGGAGAGTTTGTGGGGGAAAGGTGAGTTCGGAAATAATGATAAAGTGATTTATTTAGAGGACAGCAAACAGTTCACTTTGCCTAAAACATAGAGTACATGAGTGGGAGTAATGACAGCTTAAGGTACTAAATAAGTGGTTGCTGAATTGAATAAAGCACTTGAGTTTGCAAAATAGCTTCTACATTGTGAGATAGGTCTAGAACAGTAGGTAGGTGCCACACTATGGATGGGCTTTGAATGCCAGGCTAAGGTAAGTATATTTTATTTGGTTGGCAAGAAACAGTCGAGCTTGTTTTCTTAAGTGATGAGTGATATGAAATATCAATTCACCAGGAAGATTAATCTTTTAGTAGTGTAAAACATGACCTAAAAAGAGAAAACTACAGGCAGAGAATCTTGTTAGGAAGCCACTGCAATAGTCAGGTTAGGAGCAATCAGGGCCTGAAGGAGGGTGATAGCAGAACGAATAGTAAGGAGGTCAAAGTGACACAGCCTGGGGACTATCGGATATACACGGCAAGAATGGGTGGCTTTTAACCAGGTGTCTGAAAGAATCATGATGCCTGTCATAGAAATGGGAACATCTGGATGAGATGCAGTTTTAAGGAAAAAGATGAGGAAGTCGTCTGGAGTTTGACTGACTCCAGGATGTTACAGTTAAAAGAAAGAGAACAAGAGGATTTTGTAATGAAATTATATAAAATGTTATTAAACAATGGTAGTGAAACAATGGTCATAGTTCTACAAAGTAAGTGACAACTGGAATAAGAAAAAAGTAAACCACATAAGAGAAAAAAAGGGAAAGGGATGAATTTTAGATAAGGATGACCAGAAAGGATTTTCAGGAGAAAAAGTCCAGGTCTTTCCAAAATTCTCAATAAAGGATCCACAAAACAAGCTGGAGGCCTTTCGCTATCTCAGGGGTCAGTCCTTGGCCAGTTTATCTGTTGTCTCCCAGGGCTCTGGTGAAGGACTTAAATGGGCACACTGCTTTGTTAACTGATTCTCAGACCACTTTTTTCTTTCAATGTACGACCAGTTTGTTTTACTTTTTCTTAAATTCTCGTCATAAGGAACGGCTCCCTGGGAGGAGGCAGGGAATGGACACAAGAAGAAATCTAGTTCCTGATGACAGATGGCTCCTCAAAAGAGGGGACCCTATGGACTTCTGGGACAATGAAACAACAACTGCTGCTTTTTCGCAAAATGAACAGTAGTAAATCACAAAGTATGAAGCAGCCTGATTTCAGCTCCTCATTATTATTCTAAACATTACCTATGGAATTTTGTGTTCCATTAACACATACTTTGTTAAAAGTAGCCAACAACAACAAAAATACTAGGTGCATTATTATTTTTACTAAAATTTTATTATTCTTTTCACCATTGCTTTCCCATTCCCTTCCCCTAAAACTCTCTTTTGTAACAAAGGAGTATGGTTAAAAAACAAAAAAAGTCACCACATCCACATAACCATTTTTAATGCGTGTGTATACACACCTACTTTCAGACCTATCATCAGTGTTCCCTATGGAGGGTGACATGTGTTTCCCCACTAACTCTCTAACCCAAGACTGATTTTTGCAATGAGCCCATATTCTGGTATCTCTCGATATTCTTCTCCTTTACAGTGTGAGGATCACTGGGCAGACTGTTCTCCTGGTCTGGCTTACTGACCTCTGTCACCTTCTACTTTTTTCAAATGTGCCGAGTTTTCGGGCACGATGCTATTCTATAACATTCACATGCCACAATCCGCTCAACTACTCTCCAATTTATGGTCAGCCATTTTATTTCCAGTTTTTTGAATTTTTAATACCAAAGCAAAGTATTTCTATAAACACTTACTTAACATGAGGGACTCTGACTTGTCTTTGATCTCCTGGGATTATGTGCCCTGTAGAGGTATTGCCCAATCCAAGAGTATCCACAATGCTGTGACTTTTCTAGCATTATGCCAAAGAGCTTTCCAGAAAGGCAAACCAATTCACAATTCCACCAACAGGCCTGCAGCCTACCTGATTGGTCACTTGCACGAAGTTTGCTGAGAGTACAGAACAGCTACATCTTTTAAAAAATGTGCCCTAGGATATTCTGGGAGTGCTTTCCTCCAAAGCCTGAAAATCCATCATCATTAGAATCAGAAAATGGCTACTACTGATGGGACATCAGGCCATATGTTTAGTGTTGGACTTTACATGGAATTACAGGCATAAGAATGTTTTAAATGTTTCATCTTAAATATTATAACTGATGCACAATGAAACAATTCACAAAATCTTTTCTTAGTGACATTTCATGATCTGAATGACACCCTGCTTTACTCAGAAAAGGAATGTTAGAGAATGAGATGATAAAAAACGACTAGCCAACACTAATTCTGTTTGTTCAAGGGGAGCTGGACAATTAGAACCAAACATGGGGCACGAGAGGTCAGTCACCTGAAGCATGAATTCATTCGCTTTACTACATGACTTGTAAATGCATCACCAAGACTTCTATTAAAGCTCTCTTAGTAATAAGGAACTCAGGTACTACTGAGGCACTACATTCCACACTAAGAGGCTTTCCTAAGAGGTGTGTAACACTTTTGAAACCTCTAGGACACAAATGGCATAGTAAGACTTTGTATCCTCAAACTGCCCCTCAAAAATAACAGAAACATGGAAAATAAACCACAAAGTCTACTGTGCTTTTTGACATAAGAAGTAAAACTCAAAGAGAAAATGAATAAACGGAATAAGACCTCCGACAGATATTTTTAAAAGTATTGTTTCTTTCAAATAAGGGGGAGGGAAGCTAGAGTCCAGGAAAATGTCCAGTGAAATAAAATCAGAAGTTACATGAAAAATAATGCCAGAAACTGCAGAGGACATGTTCAGAGATACACAATCAAAGCCACAACTACTACTCACTGTCCACACATGACCTGCTTGGAAGATTTAGGATCACAGACTCTAACGCAGATTTATTAAGCAAAGAATGGATACATAACTGCTTAGAGCTGAAGAAATACCTTCATTAACACACTAAAGCATATTATGTAGCCACATCTGGCAAAGAACTAGCAGCTAGACAGGCCAGCTTGAAAGAGAAGCACTTTTACTCAGCAAATTTGATTGGCAATTTAACTGTTACCAGGCAAAGCTGCAAATAAATAGGGCTGCTACTACAAACCAAGGGAATGCCTTTATACGTGCAGTGTGCAAAGTACTAACATTTGGCCATTAACCTGTACGTAGACAGTGATCACTATCCGTAGCCTCTTGCTCAACAAGTAGGCCAATAATAGGCTCAATGTTTTAACTCTACCAAGTACTCATCTCTAATAACTTAAATTACTCTAGAAGAGCTAGTCCCCTCTGCATTCTGCTCTCATCTGCCACACACTGACAGTTATCTGCTCCATAAAACTAAGCCCAGCATCATTCCATCTAAGATGGAAATCCAACAAGACTGGAAAGGTGGCTCTTATCCATCTGAAATGTCCTCTCCTGTCCCCCGCACTGCTCCCACAGTATGTGTGTATCTACAGCTAAACTCGAAAGCATGGGCATAATCTCCCCCAGACATACAAAATACACAGGGCACAGTGGGGAGGAAAGTCAACGTATGCATGGCTTCAATCCCCCACCATTGATCACAGTCCCTTTTTCTCTGGTTTACAGTTCTCTTTCCTTTCCCACCTTTGAACAGTACTGGGGTGACACTGCTCAAATGCATACGCTGCCAGACTTTCTTTAAACTGATTCTACTCTTTACTGGTTGTCTTTGCTTTACCAGACGATCCTGCTCATAATCATCTACCATTCTTCTTCATCAGACCTTACAAATGAGTTTATATTTTAATTCAGCATCGCCTTTGGCAGCTCTTTCTATTTAAAAACTTAGATGTTTGCTGCTTAAGCTGGTTTCTAGGCTGTATTGTTCCTGTTGTAGGGATGAGTTTAGCATGGATTAAAGTTCTGAGCAAAATTAGTACAGGTAGTGCCAGTGTCCCTTCTGCTGTCCATTTCTGACTGTTAATTGCTTTAATTCAGGACTAAGTTGCTTTGCTGTATATCTTACCTCTTTTTCATTCTTAAATATCACAGTATCAATATTCTGGTTGTATAGTAACTCTCCAAGCAGACTTTCTTCAATTAAAGCTATTTTGTTATTTTCTCTGGACATTTTAAGACTTAAATATCCCTGAAGAGTTAATAGGGCACATTTGTTAAGATGAAATATACAATAATTCAAGAGAAAAAAAAATTCAAGATGATGCAGGACACAAACGGCTTCACGTAATTACTTCACAATTTCTGATATTAACTTAATATATATAAACCATAAATTTCACTATTCAGCATCATCATCTGTAATAATTTCACTAAAACCAAACACTTGGAGACAACCAAAATCATACTATTTTGTGGGTATCAGACATACTTGCACACACACACCTATTCTAGATTTAAAGAACAATCCTTGGACTATAACAAATATAATTAAAATATAAAAGGCAATAGAGTTTCAAGGTGATTCCACTGATAACTTCCAATTGCATTACTATCTTCAGTGGACTCCTGCTTTTAGCATAAAAGATCATGAGAACTAGATGCTCCATAATTACATAAAATACATACGTACTCTTTAGTAAATATTCCCCGAGGTCCTGTAGGAGTACCCTGGCTGGCATCAATGTTATTCATCTCCAAAATGTTTCGAGCAGCAGGACTTAGCCGGAACCTGAATAAGAAAACGCAGGTAACATAATGCAAAAATTCACAGTTATTTCAAATAAAATGATCTAGATCTGAGCTGTCAAACTCGGACAGAACCAATGCCCTGCCGGTTGACTTAGAAAACCACAAATCAGCATTATCTGCGTTGTATTGTATTTTTATTTATTTTGTGGAGTTTAATGATTATAGTTTTAATGATTCACAAAACCAGTTTGTAACCATACATAAAGTTTAAATTTCAAACTGTTTCAGGATATTCAAAATAATCTCTGTTACTCTCATGTATTTTATAGACAAAATATCTTTGTAAAACATTTAACTAATCACTGGGTTAACATATTTGTTAAATAATGGTAAATAAATTTATAAATAAAACCAAAGACTTCTTTTTCCAATTCTCACTTAGATGATTTAAATATTGCAAGGGAGATATGCACACACTACCTACTGCCTAACAATAAATAAAGCTTTTACATTTTACAACCACCTCAAAAAGTAGGAGCTGAGAGCATCATCCTGATTCTACAGAAAAGGAAACTGAGGCAAGAACAGGTCACGTAACTAATTGGTGGTGGAGCCCCAGCCAATGGCACTTTTACATCCACGTAATACCATTAATACCTAAAAGTTCTCCCATATCTGAAACACTCTTCCTTCTTATCAGTGCTACTTAGAATCCCTAGCTATCTTCAAAGCTCAATTCAAGTACCACCTTCTAAAGGAGGCCTTTCCAGATACCTCTCCAACTACTAGTGATCTCCCTCCCTCCAGATTATCTTGTCACACACAGAGGTTTTTGTTTTTCTGATGTGTGCATGCATGCATGTGGGGGTAAAGGGGGGGGGGCGCGGCTACATGTTGTTTCCCTGACAAAATGTAGGCTCTTTGGGGACAGGGACTGTTTTCATCTCTTCTTTGATATCTCAATGGCTAACAGAAGGCTTAGAAAATAACAGACATTTAACACTGCTAGATTAATAAAGCACCTTACATATATTATCTCATTTGCTACTGAAAATAACCCTATAAGTTTAATGCTTCACATATTATCCTCATTTTTACAGATAAGGAAACTGAGGCTGAGAAGGTAAAATGACTTTCCACTGGTCACACAGCTAGGAACTGCCTAAAGCGGAACTCAAATCAAATCAAGTTCACTTTGACAAAATCCAGCACTTTATTTGCCAGAAATCAGAGGAGAGAACACAGTTATTTGTATTGTTAGATACTGTACGAAACTTTTTATGATCTGACAAGCAGAGGAGAAGCTTTGTTGGAAGAGAGCCTAATTATGGCAGCCTTTTGCTTTATAGAATCAAATATATTTTTATACTCAAACAATAAGCTCACTAGGGTTCGCTATACTTTTTCAGTTGTGTGACTATAAAGATGTGATTTGCTGTAGCATATTATTTATGAAAGTCGATCTATTCCTTCCTCAAAACTTCATCAAGGGGTGTGTGTGTGTGTGTGTGTGTGTGTGTGTGTGTGTGTGTAGATTATTCTCCTACTTTGTAGAGATGATAACGTAGACAATTGGGTTGTTAGTAAATATATTCCTGAGTGCCATAACTGGGCCAAAGTCAGACATCTTTCAATGTCCTCAAAATTGTTTTGCCTCCAGCATAAACTTCCTCTGTGTACACTTGAGTTAATTTAAGTTTTCCTCTCATCTTTGTTTTCTTTAATGTCTTTTCTTGAAAAAAAAATATTGCTGCTTTTTACTCTTACATCATATTTTTTGTTAAATATTTCCTCTCCACTTCATGCTAGCTTCCCCTACTGAGAATTTTCTTTATAATACTCTATTTTTTCATTGGTATTAGTGCTTCTAATTTGATGTTCATTTTTATTTTTGCTTTAACAACTTGGTTGTGTGAATGGAAACAGAGCAAAACTAACCTAGAAACTGACTGCATTTGCCAGCACATGTGGTATTTCATGCCTAGACTTCCACAATGGAAGCATTTTCCCAACATATCTCTTGGGCCTAACTTGGCAATTCCAAGGACAAACATCCAGTTTTCCTTTTACTATTCTTTCCTTTGACATTTTTATATTAGTTGTGTATACAGCTTTCCTGGCTCTACTTGCTTCAATCTTCATCAACAGTTTTTGCCGTTGCGAGCAGTGCAGTACTGTGACATGCTCAGCGGCTCTGCTGCTATTTCTACTTCCTTCTGTAGCACACTAGGGACAAGGCTGCTAGACTGCACAACTGTGGCTTCTCTATTGACAGTGACAGAAGAAACAGGCAGAGAAACCTCGACATATCTTTTCCAATTCTGTTAGTCGTCCTTCCAGTATCACCCTTGAGAGGATCTTTTCTGTAAGCCTGTTCCTCCCTCCACTACCTTTCACTGTTGTATGAAATGACGCTGCTCATAATCTTCCACTCTTTTATGCACAAATGATTTACAAACTAACCTATTTTGTCCTTAACAGCCACATATTGTTCTACTTTTTGCTGGCTAAGATATTTTCTAAGAATTTTTGGTTTCCTCATCATAGAAACTTAAAGTATTATATAATCAAAAGTTATTTTTACTGATAATAATGACATCAGTTAAAAACCTCCACAGGAGCAGGAAATGTCTTTTTACCTTTCCTTGTATCCCTAACACTTAGCACAGTGCTTGGTATACGGCACGTACTTAATAAATGTTCACTGACAGATACAGTGATACTCTATGTTGATATCTGTTCTTTCACCCATTGCCCATATTTGTTGTTATTAGCAGTTGGTATAAACATGTCAGGCTGTAGTTACCTCAGTGGCACACTCTATTTTTTCATTGGTAATAGTGCTTCTAATTTGATGCTCATTTTTATTTTGCTTTAACAACTTGGTTGTTTGAATGGAAACAGAAAGCTGATTCATAAATGACTCCCACTTCCTATCTGTTAAATCACACACAAAAAAATTGAAGTTTATATTTTATTTTGGTGCCAACCCAGATCAGCATCTCCGAACTATTTTCTTGAAAAAGTAATCATGAAAAAGAGGCATGAGGTTTCTATGAAGTTTGCAAGCCTTTGGGCCTACCTACTGCTTACTCCTGAACTGCTTCTCAACAAATATTATGCTGTCCTCCCCTATATCCACTTTTGCATTGAAATTCCTGAGTATTAAATCATATGTTGATTAATTTATGGGATCTTATCTACCTTTTCATCCTCTGAAACAGATGCTGGTTCTTAAGCTGCAATCATCTTCATGGCAGTCTTTTGGTAAATGCTTATCATCAGCATTAGAAGACAAGATGACCAAGTGACCCAGGAAGTGATCTTTCTTGTTGCATTTGGACATACAATTAAACCAACTCATTCCTTCACCTATCCAAGAAGAATTTATGGGCCATCCGTCAATTTACCTGCAACTTCTGAATTTTTTTTGTTTCACTTATAAAGAAAATGTCAACACTGATATGACTCAGTTCTGCCAGTATGTCTACTTGGTCAATGGAAAAGGATTTGACATTTCTAGTAACAGCAGCTCTCATGTTTAAAGAAGCAAATTTTGTGATTCTTGGTACCCTGAAGCCCTTCTTTTGCCACTGTGTGCCACCATCAGTGTCAAGGCAGAGGGGGCCAAAAAAAATGACTGAATGCCATTTTGTGCATTTCTTTGTCTTGTGGGTTGCCATGAACAAAGAATTCATTACCAAAGAGCCAGCTTCCTGGGGATGAGCCTCTCCACATTTTACAAGGCTAAGCCTTAAAAAGCAAATCTCATCTGTTGCTGGGACCTTACTTGAAGTCTTTCCAACATGGTAGAACCTGCCAGATATTACATACTGCTGGCAGAGCCTTCAAAAAATCAAGGGTATCCCACTGCCTTAATGAGACATTGGTGTAGGTGACTGGGAGGTGAAGAGAACAAACAGCAGTATTCCTAAGATACCAAATATGGATCAAAACTCTTCTAATAGTAAATAAGATAGGAAAACATGAAAATAAAGAGGTCTACTATATATGGTACAATTCTAAGTGGATCCTTGGTTAGAAAAAAAAAACAAAAACACTAGTAACCTTTACCTTATGGAGGTCCTTCAAATAGAAGGGATAAACCTAGTAAGAGATATTAAAAATGTTTTGTTAATTCTCCATTTGATGATTAAATTAGCAACTCATGAAATTTTGTTAACAGAAAATAACCATACAAGAATGTCCAAGGAACATCCATAAAAACATATCTTTACGAAAGAGTCTAATGAAGAGAGGGCAGTAAAACAGAGGGGAAAGAATCATGGATTTGTAGTCAAAACATTTGATTTGCAACTCAACCTTGCCACTTATTTACATGTGTGATACCAGAACAGTCACTGCCCTTTGTAAGTCTCTGTTTCTTCACCTAGATGATTCCTGCGGTCCCTTACTATGGTGAAATGCTACGAGCCTAGGATTTTGAAAACTCACAGAACAGCTATCTAGAACAAGCATACTTTCCTTTGCGCCAGAAATTCAAACACAGGAATTAATTAAATTAAAATAAGGAATCACAAAACCAGTTGGTCTGTTTTTTAAAGCTGCCTTCATTTTGTGTCAGTTGGCCAGGCCTGTGATAATGCAAGCCCAAACCCATTGTCTAGAGCTTCTCAAAGGAGAAAACAATAATAGGACACAGTGATAAAAGCACCAAATTTGAAGTTGGAAGATCCAGGTTCAAATCCTGCCTTTGTTGTTCACTACCCATGTGGCCTAGAGGAAGTCATGGCACCTCTCTGGGAATCAATTTCTTCATCCGTGGAATGACAATTGGACTACATGGTCTCTGAGGTTCTTTCCATCTCTAAATCTTATGATTCTCAAGGGATACATTCTGGAAGTGGCAGAAGACCCAGACACAGCCACATGTTCTAGAGTCTATCTCCAGGATCAAATGAGATAACACATGAAAACTGCTTTTTTAACCTTAAATATGCTGCATAAATGCCAGCTGTTATTGTTATTATTAATTTCCTACTCTTATCACAAGGTGACTTCTGGATGCAAAAACTGCTTTCCCAGCCCATTCACTGGGATCCTCTTTTGGGGAAATGTGGAGAGCAAGGGAAGGGAGAACGATGAGATGGGAAGTCCAGACAAGGAAGTAAGTTAGAAGAATGCTATTCTCACCTCCAGGAGAGAGAGAATGATGGCCATCCCTGCCTCCTCTGCAGCTGTTTCTTCATCTATAAAATGACAGTCACACTAGGTGATGTCCAGTGTCCTTAGGCATTTTAAATCCTAGAATAGCTAGGAATGGCTCTGACAGATCAAACATGGTCTCAGAATCCAAACGTCCAGGTAAGTTTAGTGCCTGGCTCTGTGACTAGCTCGGTGAGCTAAGGAGAGAAAAGGCCCTGTCCAGATGCCGAGTGCAACTTAAAAGCCCATCTAAGAATGGCATACTCACAACAGTTTCCGAGCTGGTTGGGCCTTTGTGGCAGAAGCAGGAACCACAGCTTCAGCTACAAGAGGTGCAGACACAGGTGGAGCTGGGGGTGGTTGAGGACTCACATCTTTGGGAATTTCAACCTGCTTCCAATCAGCTCCTTCCTCCACCATCAACCCAATTAGTGATCCTAACTGAATGCCTTTACTCCCTTCTTCGACCTTTATTTTGAAAGGAAAAAAAAAAGTAAGCTAAATAATTATGAAAGGATGAAAAGTGTGCTGCAAGATTTGCCGCACTTAAACTGGCATCAGGTCACCAGGATGCCTTTTACTCTGAAAACAATAATTTAATTCATACTAACACAATTTCTAGAAAGGGTAAATCATTCAATTTTCCTACAGCTCTATTCATGCCTGTTTCTTCATCTATAAAATGAGCAGGTTAGACTATATATCCTTTCAAAAATTTAATTGTTCTTCACTTTCAAGTAACATGAATCTATTTTCTCTGCTTCTCACCTTTCCGTCACCCTACCACACCTCCCATAGGGGATGGGGGCAGAAACCTTGTCATAGAGAGCAAAGTCAAACAAAAAAAATTCCCACACTGACCACATCCGAAAATGTGTGTCTCATTCTTCATCTTGAATCTATTCACCTCCCTGTTAAGAGGTGGGTTCCCATCATTACTCTCCTGGAGCTGGCACAGCAGAGGCAGCAGTGTCTTCAGCCTCCCTGGCCATCATTCCCTTCCAGGTGCTACATGCCCCTATTCCAATGTAATCTCTTTGAGAGATTACCCATACTGTCTCTCTTTTGAACCTGTATCCAGTGTTTAGCACAAAGCCTATGAAATTGAAAGTGCCTAACAAATGCTTTTAAATTCATTCATTCAATCAGTCTTGGAGGTCTTCTAGTGCAATCTCCCATGAACTACAAGAAAGCTTAAAACAAGAACTTCAACAAAATGGTTATAGGTTCACAGATTTAAAATCCAAAGACATCTGGTGAAAAAACCAAGTCATACACTTACAAACAATTTTCAAAGGAAGAAATCCAAGCTGCTAATAGCCATCTGAAAAAAATGCTCCACATCATTAACAATTGGAGAAGTACAAATTAAAACAATTCTGGGGGCTGGAGCTGCACTAGTGCAGTAAGTTTTCAGCAGCTACTAGTATGCATGCTCTTTGACCCAGTGGTGCCACTAGTAGGCCTCTACCCTAAAGAGACCCACGAAAAGAAACCAGATCCAGCCCTCAGGATGAATGCATGCTCAACTGCCTGGGCAGTGGTCAGGTCCCTCCCCACATGCCTGTTTGCTGTGACACAGCTGGAGTTGTTCCTGGGTCCCTGTCGCTCAATCCTCACCCCAGAAAACAGTAAGAAAATATTTATAGCAGGGCTTTTTGTAGTTGCAAAGAACTGGAACTAAGGAGATGCTCATCAGCTGGGGAAATGGCTGAAAAAATGCTACCACATGATATAATGGAACATTACTGTGCTCTAAGAAATGAGAAAAGGGATGATTTTGGAGAAACTTACTAAGTGTGAACTGATGCACAATGATGTGAACAGAATTAGGAGAACAATTCACACAATAACAATACTGAAAACACAAAAAAAGACTTGAAAACTCGTATCCGTGCTATCACCAACAACAATTCCAGAGGAGTAATGATAAATACAGAGCTCTTGACAGAGAGGTGGATGGATTCAAGATGCAGAATCAAACATATATTTTTGGATATGGTCAGTGTGGGTATTTCTTTTGGTTAACTTTGCTTTCTGTTGCAAGGTTTCTAACCCCATTCTCTAAAGGAGGAGTGGTAGAGGGAAAGAAAGGCAGAGAATATAAATTCATGTTACTTAAAAGTGAAAAATAATTACATTTTTAAAGGATATCTATCTAGCCCAACCTCCTCATGTTATAGATGCAAAAACAGAGAGCCAGGAAATTAACTGACTTACTCAAGATCATATAGAGATTACATTTCAGAACTAACATTCAAGTACAAGTCTTCGTAATCCCACACTACAGCTTTTTCCACTGCTCCAGAATGCCTCGTCATTTAATATATTTAAATGTTTACTACAGATCCCTGCACCAAGTGCTGGTGAAACATAAAGTTTAGATAAGATGGGGTACCTGCCCTCATGGGAAGTGAAAGTGGAGTTAGTCTGGGAGAAGCATAAACATAAATACACACACACACACACACACACACACACACACACACACATACATATACATATATACATACATTTATAATACAAATTTTACAAATTTTATATAATATAAATATTGTATTTATAATACAAATATTACAAATAAGTTGCTAAGTACTGAGTAACAAAGAATTTCAGAGATGGAAGAGACCTCAGTGGCCACTTAGTTATGAGACAGATTATTTTAAATGGAACCCTATTTTATTCCAACCAACATTAATCAGTTTAGTGTGATTCCATAGGGGTAGTGATTGCTAGCAATCATTGCATTATACTTATCTACCAACATACATTTAGTCAGTGATAGGTTCTTTCTCACAATAGGCTTTAAACTACAAGCTATAAGTTCACTGACTTGTCATAAAGTACACTTGCTCAATCATGTCATGTTGACTAGAGGACCTCCATCTTCTCGGCCTGATGACTGTGTTACCGAGGCCAGAATGGGTGAGAGGACCTTTGGATCTAACCGTCATGACCAAACGCTGCATGGCAGAGAAGACTTCATGGTAACGGAAAGTCCTCCAACTTACTTTGTTTACCTCCAGACCATCGCCTGTCGCCCAACATGAGGAGGCGCCCATCCTATGACCGCCCATGCAGATTCATCATCTCCAAAACTTTTGGCCAGTCTGGAGAGTCAAGGTATAGGCCTAGCAACCAATGAGATTCTGCATCTTACTCTGCTTCGTTTGTATCATCCTGCTAATCAAGCACTAGAAAACTAAGGCCCTAGAAACAGGGGTTATCTCAGATCATGAGGAAGATCTGAAGTCCCACTCACTCAAGGGGGTCCAGTCCCTTTAAGAAATGGCTACTGGCTTGGAGTTCTGCCTCAGTTTCTTTTATTGTAGACTGTCCAGATTGGACAATTTTGAACCCCATATATGGAGAGAGGGGGAAAAAAAACTCTCCTCAACTATCTCCAATGAAAAGCAAATAACTCTTTATGGAGTAATCCTTCTACTAGTCGAATATCTGTAATTGTTAAAAAAAAAAGTTTTCTTCACATACTAATCCAAAAATCTGTCTCATAATAAGCTTTCAGTTATATTCTGGTACAATCCAGGACAGGTCTAATCTCTCCTCCTTGTGACCAGCTTTCAAATAGTTGAAGACTCTCAATGTGTCTTAGCTCTCTTCTTATGATATCTAGTAAGCATAAATCAGCTAGGACACACATACTACATGGCACACTAACTACTGATATTAATTTGAACTGCATATAAGGTAATTAATATGTAATGAAATCTGTCCTACTTACTGAAACAAAATCAAAGTGATATGATTTACATATATAACATGTTACATATTCTTTTCTCAAAAAGGAAACTGGCTGAACTAACTACTAGATAAAACTACAACTCTATGAAATTTTATTGGCATTCTAATGAGCAGAGTATACACTTCTGTATCATATCTTAAGAAATAAATCAAGAGGGGCAGCTAGGTGGCACAGTGGATAGAGCACCAGCCCTGGATTCAGGAGGACCTGAGTTCAAATCCGGCCTCAGACACATAAATCACTTACTATCTGTGTGACCCTAGGCAAGTCACTTAACCCCACTGCCTAATCGAAAGAAAGAAAGAAAGAAAGAAAGAAAGAAAGAAAGAAAGAAACAAACAAACAAACAAACAAACAAACAAAGAAACAAAGAAAGAAACAAAGAAAGAAAGATAGCAAGCAAGATCACTAATTCCAGACTGAGTGGAAATGGAGGTAATGTTAACATTCAATGACTAGATAGAAGTTTATCTTTCCTAAGCAAATCCTTTCTCTTCAAGGGGAATACAGCATGACACTGATAAGATTGGAGGGTTCAAGTTTGAAATGCTTATGAGAAAAAAAATCATTTTAACTTGATCTGAAGTCTCCATAAATAACAATTTGATATTAAGACCTGGACTGAAATCTTAGTCTGCCACCTAATGGCTGGGTATATATAATCCTTCAGGGACTGAGTTTTCTAATCTGTAATGAGAAGCTTGAACTGCAAAAAAAAAAAAATCTCTGAGCCTAGTCTGAGTTGTTATAGGCATGAGGGGGATGGGGAGAGAAAAGGAAATTTTTTTCCTCTTCAAAAATATTCTCTAATTTGTAGTTTTCATCAATGTAAATTGTTCTTACCTTTTAATTAGGCCAAATAAAGTTTTGCATACAAATTTCATTTAGTAGACAATAATATTATGCAATAAATTTCAAACCTGGTCTACCCAACCCAATTTTTGCTTACATTTTCCCATAATCAGCAAAACTGCTACAGCATGTCAGTGCAATCACATTTGAATATGACTCAACTTTGAGTATTTAGAAATGTTAACTGGATAGAGATTTTTGCTTATTATGGGAAATTAAGCAAATGTGGGTTAGGGAGGAACGTCACTAATTTTAATAGTCAACCTAAATCCATGAAATATATGGAGTAGCCTTAAAATTATAAAACATTATTTCTTAAGTTAAGAAACTTTGAAAGATTTCTGGTCCCTGGCAAAGTTGAGTAAAATGATGTTTTATGCAAAGGAAAACTGGAAAAGAAATAGTTATATATTTTTGAAAGTTAGAACCTATTTTTAACTAAGTAATTTTTTAAAAATCTGAGTAGGGTTAATTAGCATTACAGGATGTTAATAACTTCAGACTTAATATAATTCCCACTGACAATCACACTTCTTTAATTGTATCTTACAATATAAAATTATTCTAACATTCTTACTTTTGCAAAGTCTGCTAACTTTTCTTTATTGTGACTTAAGTTGTGGCAAGTTCAAGTCTATTACTATTTTAAGATTGTTCTTTTCTTGTTAAAATGATTAATTACTTGTTCATGAATTATAAAACATTTTTAAGTCAAAAAGCAAACCACTGCCTAATAAAGTTAAATTTCAACTAAAAACTCATTAAACAATAGGAAATCCAAACAAAGTTAACTCTTTTCAAGTCTGAACTAGGAATGAGGTCAATTAAAAATAAACATCCAACTGGGTCAAAA